CTATTTGGCAAGAAACGGAACAGTTTTGTCTCTTTCTCATCCTTAATTAAGGCACAATAAACACTTAATACACATTTATAAAGTATTTACTGATGAATTAACATATCTATAAACTATTTATAAGCCATCTATAAGGGGAGTCTTATTGTAAAGTGGTCCCACTCAATTTATGTTTGATGGCTCAAAAAGAATGTTGTTTTTTTATCATGTTATTATTATTGCAATGAATTGCGATAAGTTTTGAAGTCCCATATGGCTCATCCCTTCGTCTGCCCAACTCCTAGGTTATAAATGTTGGACCGACAGCAAGGAGCTTTGGTTTTTTGGCTTGCAGGGCTGCAGAAATACCTGAGCTTACTATTCGTCCAACGGTGATGTCGTTCTCCATCTCTGAAACACAAAACGGTCATTTAGCACCACCTGAGTTCAGTCTGAAGAGCCAGAACTGGTCGTGTCAATTAAAAGAAACTGGCAATTGTTGAATATTACAGAACAAAAAAGAAAATTAGTGGCTTAAATCCCAGAAGGTTGAATTATAATTCTTATCCCAATCTCATTCAAAGGCTGAATGCTCCAATGAAGTGGAAAATTAACTGCAAAGAAAGTCAGTGTGTCCATGTGAACATTAGGACAAAACTAAATTAAGATGTTCCCATAAAGGCTGGATGAGTAAAACAAAGAATGACAGACAAAGTCAAAAGAAATAGGAAGACAAACGGTCAATGTTGTGTTGGTAAAGATTCTCTTCCATGAAGGGGAAAAACCACTGTTTTAACAACCAGTTTAWACAGTCCCAGTGCCTCTACCTCCATTTCTTTTCCCTTCAGCACCTTTAGTCTGGACTAGAGTTGTCTCTGCTGCAGCTCTGTCTGAATCTCTCTCTGCAAACACAAGGGATTAACACTAGCATAAGATCAGATGTGTACAGCAGCTGACAGCTTCACAACTGCAACTACAGGATACACAACAAACAATTTAACACYGAGCTCAGCTTCAGCAAAACACACACACACAGCAGCTACACACGACAACAACTACTGCGCACAACAATCAAACAAAAACAATAAATACAGAGCAAAGACAGTGACAAAAATAAACCAAAAAATGGCCTCATGTCTTCACAGACAGCTCTAAACACTGACAAACACTGAAATATTCATCTCTTTTATGTAAACCTGCGCTAAAAACACTGAAAACCTGGTGGTGGAATCTTTAACCTGATTAAAATTCAAAAGACAGCAATATTTTTATTAAAAATATATATTAATTTCCATTGTTATCAGATATGAGTAGGGCTTAGTAATATCTAGTAATAATATCTAATAACGAGTGCATAGATGCTAACTTTAAACTTAAATTAGCACAGAAGTTCATGCAATAAATTGATTAGTGCTGTACCAAACAATTACTTTCTAATCCATTAATCTAATCATTATTTTTTCGATTAATCGATTATTCTAACAACAAATCTACAAG